CGGAGAAAAAGGAACCCTTGTGCACTGCTGGTGGGAATGTAGATTGGTGCAACCACTGTGGAGAACATTATGGAGTTTCCTCAAAAAACTGAAAATGGAACTCCCATTTGACCCAGTAATCCCACTCCTAGGAATATATCCCAAGAAACTAGAAACACCAATCAGAAAGGATATATGCACCCCTATGTTCATAGCAGCACAATCTACAATAGCTAGGATTTGGAAATAGCCTAGGTGCCCGTCAGCAGATGACTGGATCAAAAAACTATGGTACATCTACATAATGGAATACTATGCTGCCATAAAAAAGAAGGAATTCTCATCATTTGCAGCAAGCTGGATGGAATTGGAGAACATCATGCTGAGTGAAATAAGCCAGTCAATGAAAGAGATACACCACATGACCTCACTCATTTATGGATAATAAAGAACATTATAAACTGATGAACCAAACGATAGATATAGAGACAGTAAAGCAACAAGCAGACTGTCAAATTACAGCGGGGAGGAGAGGAAGATCTGGGGGAGATAAGAGATCAACTGAAGGACTTGTGTACATGCATATAAGTACAACCAATGGACACAAAACTCTGGGGAGGGTGGGTATGTATGGGGAGGGACAATGTTAAAATATGTACACAGTTAATAAATTAATAAAGAAAAAAACTCACAAGAATTTTCTGTGAAACTGAAGCTGGTCCTTTTTCTCTGACGGGGGCTAGTTTCTATAATTTTCAATTTGCTCATATAAATTAGTTTATGTTTTTAAAAAATCTTTCTTATTGTTTTTTTAACTTATTGATTTCTAATTTAGTATTTATGAATACTTTGTTTTCCTAACTCTGAGTCATAGGCTTAATTACTTTTTCTACATGTTTTTAGAGCCATAATCTTTGAGTACCACTTTAGGCTATACCATAGATTGTGACACACAGTTTTCTAGAAAAATTATATAACTTTAACATGTATTTCCCCTTTGACTCAGGTAATTTATTAATTTTTAAAATTTCCAGGTGGATCTTTCCCTCCATTTCATTATTAATTTCTAGTTGTACTGGGTAGATCCTATTGTTATTTCTACTCTGGAATCCACTAAGGTTTTCTTTGCTTCAGGGAGGAGAGTCAGTGTGTATGTATCTTGTAAAGATATGTTCTTTTTTTTAAAAATATATTTTATATTTTATTGATTTTTCACAGAGAGGAAGGGAAAGGGATAGCTAGCTAGAAACATCGATGAGAAAGAATCATCGACCAGCTGCCTCATGTACACCCCTGACTGGGGATGTGCCCACAACCAATGTACATGCCCTTGACCAGAATCGAACCTGGGACCTTTCAGTCCATAGACGCTCTATCCACTGAGCCAAACCAGTTTTGGCAAGATATGTTTTCTTACCACAGTATAAGTAGATATAGGTATAGGAACTACCTCACTGAGAATTTAAGTTTCTACATTTCTAACTGTTTTCATGTTCACTTGGATAGAGACACACATTCTATTCTCCTCTATTGACAACTCTTCTTTGATTCCTGGCTCCCCCAGGTTCATTCCCTTGCACTTCTCCCTTTGCAAACTGGCCAAATGTTACTGTTTCCAGCTGTATGCTGATGACTCCCAAATACCCACGTCTACATCTGACTCCCAACCCCCAATGTCCAAGTGCCCAGAGGATAATCTCATTTTAGTTCCTCTACGGAAATAAAATCCATCTTCTTCCAAACTCTGCTCTTGGGTCTAAATCCTGTCTCTACCTTATGATATCTCTTTATAGTTATAATGGTTTCACACTGCTTATCTTTTTATGTGAATGATTTACCTTACATAACAAATTGGAAAGTCCTAGAAGGCAGGACTGGAGTAATATGTATATATATATGTATTTTTTTTTAAAATATATTTTATTGATTTTACACAGAGAGGAATTGAGAGGGACAGAGTTAGAAACGTCGATGAGAGAGAAACATCGACCAGCTGCCTCCTGCACACCCCCCACTGGGGATGTGCCCGCAACCAAGGTACATGCCCTTGACCGGAATCGAACCGGGGACCTTTCAGTTTGCAGGCCGATGCTCTATCCACTGAGCCAAACCGGTCTCGGCAAGTAATATGTATATTTTTAATCAACTCCAGAACCCAACCCTGCCTGAGGAAAGAAACAAGGGGCACTTACTAAATATTGATGAGCGGCTTAAGAATTTTTTTTTTTTAAGATAGTTAAAAGGAGAGGGACAGACAGAGAGGAGAGAAACATTGATGTGAGAGAGAGACCTCGATTAGGCTCCCTCCCGCATGTGCCCTGACAGGGTCTGGAATTGAACCTGTAACTCAGGTTCGTGACCTTGAATGGGACTCAAACCCAAGACCCTTCTTTGCGTGGCTGATACTTTAACCACAGCCAGGATGACTTAAGTGTTTTATTTTTTTTTTATATTTAAAAAATATATATTTTATTGATTTTTTTACAGAGAGGAAAGGAGAGTGATAGAGAGCTAGAAACATCGATGAGAAACATCGACCAGCTGCCTCCTGCACAACCCCTCCTGGGGATGTGTCCACAACCAATGTATATGCCCTTGACTGGAATCGAACTTGGGACCTTTTAGTCTGCAGACCGACACTCTATCCACTGATACCAGTTTCAGCGACTTAAGTGTTTTTAAAAATCATATGTATATCTTTGCTATTTATTGTTGACTCTAAGCTTAAATAATTAATTTTAGGGTATGGGCAAGGGAGGGGAGAGTGAGCATTGGGTCTCTAGACCTCAAGGTGCATGGCCAAAGTATTCCTGGTGTTGGCAACATAACCACCAGTCTATCATCCAAAATAAATGCTAGCTTTGCCCAAGAGTCAGGAAAAAACTCATATAATAAATCTTATCTGTCTCTACTTCTTCCTAAAATAAAGAAAACAGAATAATCTGTGGGAAATTAACCTGGCCCACTACCCTAACCATATGTGTAAGAAAACTACAGAGTTTAATAGTCATGGATTTTTGTCATCTTAGGCAACTCACAACACCTACTCTCTGCTCAACTTCAGCCTCAGAACAAACAGCCAGGAAATCAAGTAAAAGTATTAGGCACTCAGCTAAATGATTTTTGAAGGCCCCTGACTCTATGACAGAGTTGGGGGACCTTTTATCTGATGAGGGCCATTTGAATATTTACAATATCATTTGCTTAATATAATTCATTTAATATGAATTTTTATTTTTTATTTTTTTGAACAGACAATTATAGTAAATTTCAAAATCTGAGCAGCAATGTGAATGTGTTTCTTGAAAAAAAAATAGAGAACAGAGACTTAATATAATTTTATGTTGCTATGAAAAAAAACCTAGATTTATTGAATTTCGAGTCCTGCCTGTGGTTGCCTTGGCAGGGCCAAACCAAATGATTTCTCAGGTTTTATACGGCTCTCGAGACTCACCCTTGCTCTCCAGAAACAGTGTACTTGTAGAGAAAAGCTCTAAGGTTAAACTGCAGCCAGACGAGTTAATATGTATCACTGAGGATACCTGCTAACGCTTACTGGAAAATGAGTACAAATGAAGAAGGGCCCTTAACCAACAATATAGAAAACTCACTGACAAAATTATGAGAAATTCAGCAAGGAGACAGTACAGCTTTGGGTCAAGACTGTAAGATCTGATGTTAGATTCCCAGAACCCCAATCTCTGCTCCACTACCTACTGCTGTGTGACCTTTAACAAGCAGCTTTTCTCTGCTCCAGTTTCATCATCTGTAAAATGGTAATAACTCCTATACTCCACAGTACAGCTGTGAGAATTACAAGAGATAATAAATGCATGCAAAGTGCCCTAACCGATTTGGCTCAGTGGATAGAGCGTCGGCCTGGGGACTCAAGGGTCTCAGGTTCGATTCCGGTCAAGGGTATGTACCTTGGTTGCAGGAACATCCCCAGTAGGGAGTGTGCAGGAGGCAGCTGATCAATGTTTCTCGCTCATCAATGTTTCTAATTCTCTATCCCTCTCCCTTCCTCTCTGTAAAAAAATCAATACAATATAAAAAATAAAAAAAAATAAAAAAAATAAATGCATGCAAAGTACTTAGACTAATGCCTAGTACATAAGTGCTTATTAAGCAGATATTATTTCCACCAATAGTTGGTTATCTTTTCTTTTACACTAGGTTTCACAGCTATGGATCTTCAATGTGTCATGTGTCCAATGAAAACACAGATTTAAAATATACCTGTTGGGCCGAAACCAGTTTGGCTCAGTGGGGTATGTGCAGGAGGTAGCTGATTGATGTTTCTCTCTGATAGATGTTTCTAACTCTCTATCCCTTTCTCTTCCTCTCTGTAAAAAAATCAATAAAATATATTTTTAAGAAAAATAATAAAATATACCTATTGGGCCCTAGCAGATTTGACTCAGGGGATAGAGTATTAGCCTGGGACTATAGGGTCCCAGGTTAGATTCTGGTCAAGATCATGTAGTTGCGGGCTTTGATCCCCAGCCCTGGTTGGGGCCATGTAGGAGGCAATCAATTGATGTGTCTTTTTTTCACACCAGTGTTTATCTCTCCCTCTCCCTTCCATTCTCTCTAAAAACCAATGGAAAAATATCCTCAGGTGAGGATTAACAAAAATAAATATAATATAATAAATATAATATAACATAATGTAACATAATATAATATACCTGCTGGGAAATAGCACTGGATCCAAAAAATAGATACAGAATGTCTGCCTACATTTTCTATCTGCTTGAATGCTTGATATTAATACATCAGCTGTAATACTTGCTTACCAAGAGAAGGACCTTCTGCCTTTGCTGCCCCAAGATATAGGAAAAATGGCCACCCACAGTTGAAGCAGGCTCTGGCTCATGGAACAAGACAAAAATTAAACACATGTGTGAGCATGTGCTTAGTTGGTATGAATGGTGTCTCGAAAAAGTCTGAGATGAAGTAGAAGAACATGATTTTCCCATAGCATTCAATCTGAATACCCAAGGGACTTGGTTTCTTACCCATTAACAGCATCTCCCCAATACTGTCTTCTTCCTTCTCTGAGGAGGGCTCCTGCATAGGATCCAGGCTCACACATTCTTCTTGGGAGTGAAATACATTCAAGTCCTCAAAAACCACCAGATCCTGAAAGAGCAACAGGCCCCCCTTCCTCTTAGTAACAGAGGTTCCTTGACAGTCCTGTTGATAAGAAATACTGAGACCCCAATGGTGAAAGGGGTTTATAAGTACCATAGAGATGCAGCCAGTCAGGAAAGGAGCCAGAAGACAAGCAGAAGAAAATGATCTAAGGAGAAAGTGAAGAACAAGCCCCGTTTTCCCAGCTGACTTCCATGAGTATGTTTTTATATAAAATGGCTGAGCTGGGAGGGATAGCAAGAGCAGAGAAGGGCTGGGTTAGTGAGCCTCCACCCATGAACTAGGCACATGTCCAAGCTGTGGGCTCATGATAACCCAGTAGGCGGAGTGCAAGGGGAAGCCGATCAATGTTTCTATCTATCCCTCTCCCTTTCTCTAAAATCAATAAAAACATATTTAAAATAAAGAGCAGAGAAGGTGATACACTCAAACAATGAATGGGAAAACCGTACCCACCTTAGAATCAGCTTTCAAGCACAAAGATACTGTCTCCTGACCCTGCTGGATTCCTTCTCTAGTCAGAAGCTTCACTTGGGGACCAGGTTGCACTGGGAAAAGAGGAAACTGCAGTTACTGGAAAAGTCAGTGAGTCTAATACGGACACTCCCTAATGTCAGGTTATCTTCACTCCTTTGGGCAGGCAACTCATGGTCTTTTCTGGTCCTGTGAGACCAGAGATCAAGCCATAAATCACAGCGTCTTGAAACTATTATATAGTGTCCCCTCAATTAAAAGAATGATTTCCCCTAAGTGCTTTTTAAAATTTCCACAACTACTAAAGAGGGGGTTGGGAGAAGGTAGTCTGAAGAATCCCATAGCAAGCACAAAGTTTCCAAAACGCCACATAATCTAAAATCAATTCTATCATTCATTCATATTCATTTATCTTAAAAAAGATATTGTTTGCGTTAGCTGGTTTGGCTCAGTGGTGTCAGCCTGCGGACCAGGTTTGATTCCGGTCAAGGGCATGAATCTCGGTTATAGGCTCCTCCTGGGCACAGGCCCTGGTCGGGCACATGCAGGAAGCAACCAATTGATGTGTTTCTCTCACATCAATGTTTCTCTCTGTCTTCCCTTCTAAAAATCAATGGAAAAATATCCTTGGATAAGAAAATATATATATATATATATATATATATATATATATATATATATATATATCCTACTCTCTTCTCCCAATGTCCCAATGAAAAACTGACACTACATAAAAGAGACACACTGCTTATCCTATGGCCTTACCCACACCCATCAAACCACTCAAGCTCCCCTTCTCTTCCAGTAAAGCAGAGTGTTCTTACCGCTGTTCTGAAAGTTTGAGCTCACATCTTTCATGATAACCAAGGTCTCTTTGGCATTCTGATTGGGCTGGGCTAGTCCGGGCTTGGGCAAGAAGGTGAGGAAGTGCTCCAGAACCAGCTGGTGGATGGTCTTGGGCCTGTTAGTAGCATCTTGAAGTAGGTCTTGGCCTAGCTTGGAGTTTGGAGGAACTCTCAGTATAAAGGACTGCTTTGGCTTCGGAGGCATCGGAAACACTTTTGCAGCCATCGTGCCTTGAAATCACACACCACGCTCCTTTGTGTAGAGCTTCAGAAGCCACCTCTTACTGAAGAAAATCTGCCAGAAAGTTGCAGACAAGAGATATCATCGGTTACCCACAAGATCAGGCAGGGTATGTCTACACGTGTGGCTTGGGTGGTGAGGCCACGTGAGATCTACGTCAGAGAAGAAAGATAAGCGGGGGATAGGGAATTCATCGATGAAATGGATCCTTTTAGCAAGGCCTGAAAGGAAGATCCTGAGAATGAAAGCTAGAAAGAGGATGGCCAAACCGCAAGGACCAAATGGAAGGGAGCAAAGGCAGCCGACAGAAGACCGAGGGCTATTATCCTAAGAAATACAAAGTACAAATTCCACTGGGAAGAGCTGTTTAACTCATGTATGGTAGAGCAACGGGCTAGAACAGGGGTCGCCAACCTAAGGAAACCTTTGGAGCAGCGGTCGCCAACCGCTGGGCTAGAAGACAGGAAATCTGGGGGCCATCTACCGAGAGTATCTGTATAGAAGTCAATCAGCTTTGGACTGAATCTGACCGGAGATCCCACGGATACCTTTCGAGGGACAGCCGACGGCTCGAGAAGAAAACACAAAGCCGATCGAGGGGCCTCCTTTATGCCGAGAGAGCTCTACTGAAAACGGCAGGTGACACATCGCAGGAGGACCACCAGCCCCAGCCCACACTAGAACCTCTCCCATCGGGCAAGGGCTCCCTTTAGCGCAAAGCCCGGCGGGGGCGTTGCCTGGGGCCAGCTCCGGGCTCCCCTCTCCAGCCAAGCTCCTCCAACAACCGACCGCGATCCGCTCCCCAGGCGTTGCCGCAAGCCTGGTTCCCGCCCTCGCGGAGCACCTCACCTGTCGGAGGCCCTGCCACCCCTGGCCGCTCGCTGAGGGCAGCCCGGAGACCCAGGCTGGAGGAGAGACCGGGAAACTTAGGCGCGGGAAGCCGAGACCGCCCCTCGCCCTTGGGAGTGTCCTCAGAATCTGCCAGAGACGATTGGTCCGCCGACACGTCAGTTAGGAAAGACGACAGGACGCGGTGCCTTCTGGGAGCCCGGGCAACTCAGCATCTGTGACGTCACGCCCGGTGCCTCGTTTCCGGTGCGAGGACCTGGTCTCCCTCCTCGGAGCGAGCAGTCCGCCGTTGAGGCGAGGCTCGAGGCGGACCGGCGGAGCTCACAGGGCTGGAGGGAGGCCAGCGCGGAGACAGCCGCTTTCGCTGTGTCTCTTCCTGGAAGACGGGAAGCAGAAGGCTAGCTCCAGTCCTCCATGCCCGGCTGGCGCCACTCCAGGTACGGGCTAACTCTAGGACTGCTGGGAAATGCAGTTCAACTCCAATCAGCCAATGGGAAGTCTCCAAGCGCAGCGGTTGGGGCGGGGCAGAGCCCTGGCTAGACCGGAAGCGAGTTGTCTCTGGGACCGGAAGGTTTGTTCCCCGCCGCCTCAATCGCCGTGACTCATCCGGGGTGAGCCTAAGTGAGTGAGTGGTTTAGGGCTTCTGCCAGATCCTGGGTCCCTTCTTTCAGGGCCGGCCAGTAGGTCAGAGCCTGGCGACCCTTCTCTGCTTGCCAACTTCAACACATCTTACTTTATATAAGGCATCCTACTTGTTCCCGGACCACGCCATTTATGCTCTCAGTTTGTTTCTCACTGACGTCCAACAGCGTCTTTTCTCTTTGCATTGTTTCCATACACTGATCTGGATGGGAATAACCCTAGGAACTATCTTATTCCTCAGTCCACTGGCCACCAGCAGGATGACGAAAGTAAATATATAAATGAATGCCTTTATTTATTTACTTCAGAGAGAGGAAGGGAGAGGAAGCTGTAGAAACATCAATGATGACACTCATCCATGGGCTGCTTCCTGCCCGCCCCACACTGGGGATGGAACTCACAACTCAGGCATGGGCCCTGCCCGGGAATCAAACCCCGACCTCCTGGTTCACAGGTCGATGTTCAACCAACTGAACCACACCAGCCAGGGCTAGGGCTGGATGTCTTTTCTTATCCCTAACTATAGGAGACTCACTTAGCCATGGTTTAAAATATGTTATAGAGAGACTAGTGTCAAAACTGTAGCACCAAACTTTTTTAAAAAAAGTAAAGATTACCTGCCTTTGCAGACATCAGCATTACAAAACAAAACAAAACAAAACAAAAACCCTCCTTTAATCAAAGCACTATGGTTTTAACTAAGAGTACATAAATAGAACAGTAGAAAAGACTAGTAAGTGCCCAAATTGATCAGAATATATGGGAATCTATATGAAAGGGCAGCATTTCAACTGAATGTAAAATAGATGGTGCTAGCAAAAATTGTTCTGAAAAAGAGTAAGACTCCTGTCCTTTTACTACATTAAAAAAATGGAATTTAATCAATAAAAACACATAAGAGAACATTAAGTTTAATGAAACAAAATGGGAAATTGAGATGCCTTAAAATAAAATATAAACAAAAATATTGTTATGAAATAGTTTTTTAAAACTATTGCTAATCGTTCAAAATTTTTCATTCAATTGCTGGAATCAAAGAGAAGTGTTTAGTTCATTTTGCAAGAGTGAATCAAATGACAGTGTGAATCCTATTGTAAAATTTGGAAGTTCAACACAAGATTAAATGATTTATTTGTGGGAAACATGGAGACAAATTTAGAATCAACAAAGTTTTATTTTTTTATTTAAAAATTTTTTAAATTTTTAAAAATTTTTTTATTGTTTTTTTTACAGAGAGGAAGGGAGAGAAATAGAGAGTCAGAAACATCGATGAGAGAGAGTCACAAATCAGCTGCCTCTTGCACACCCCCTACTGGGGATATGCCCGAAACCAAGGTACATGCCTTTGACCGGAATCGAACCTGGGACCCTTCAGTCCCCAAGCCAACGCTCTATCCATTGAGCCAAACCAGTTTTGGCTCAATGAAGTTTTATGATAGAACAGGAAAAAAAACCAATATTAAGTCAAACAATAGGCTGGAAAATAATTGTAAAAAGGCAGATAAAGAATTAGACATTCCCACCATACAAAGAATACATACCAAGTGACAAAAGATGAACGCAAAGGTAATGAAGTCATTCCACAGAGCAGGAAAGCTAACTGGTCATTGACTTTTGAAAACCTTGTTAGTGCTCTACCTGGTTTGGTTTAGTGCAGTGGTCGGTAAACTCAGTCAACAGAGCCAAATATCAAAAGACTGAAATTTCTTTTGAGAGCTGAATGTTTTAAACTTAAACTTCTAACGCCACTTCTTCAAAATAGACTTGCCCAGGCCATGCTATTTTGTGGAAGAGCCACACTCAAGGGCCCAAAGAGCTGCAAGGGGCCAAACTACGCACTAAGCCAGTTTGCTAACCACTGGCTTAGGGGGGAGAGCAACTGCCTGTGGACTGAAAGGATCTGAGTTGGATTCTAGTCAAGAGCACATGTGTGGGGATGGGGGCTCTAGGAGGCAGCTGGTCAATGATTCTCTCATCATTGATGTTTCTATCTCTCCCTCTCCCTTCCTCTCTGAAATCAATAAAAATATTTTTTAAAAAAGAAAAGCTGGCCCTAACTGGTTTGGCTCAGTGGATAGAGTGTCAGCGGCTGCAGACTGAAGGGTCCCAGGTTCGATTCTGGTCAAGGGCATGTACCAGGAGGCAGCTGATCAATGTTTCTCTCTTATTGATGCTTTTAACGCTCCCTTTCCCTTTCTGTAAAAAAAAATCAATAAAATATATTTTAAAAAATGAAAAAAAAAAAAAGCTGGTTAGTCACTTTGGAAACAGTTTGGCAGTCACTCAAGTTTTAACATAGAATTGCCATACGATCCAGCAATTTCGTTCCTAGGATAAACCTAAGAGAAGTGAAAACATATGTCCACATAAAAGCTGTACATGAATAGTAGCATTATTTTTAAAAAAATATACTTTTATTGATTTTAGAGGGGGAAGGGGTGGGAGAAATAAAAACATTGATGATGAAAGAGAATTATTGTTCAGCTGCCTCCTACATGCCCCATTCTAGGATCCAGCCCACAACTTGGGCATGTGCCCTGACGAATTGAACCATTTCCATTTGCTTGCATGGAATATATTTTTCTATCCCTTCACTCTTAGTCTGTGTTTATCCTTTGTTATAAGGTGGGTTTTTTGTAGACAGCATATATATGGGTATTGTTTCCTTATCCATTCAATCACCCAATGTCTTTTAACCGAAGCATTTAGTCAATTTACCTATAAGGTTGTTTTTTTGTTTTTGTCTTTGTTTTTAATATATTTTATTGATTTTTCACAGAGAGGAAGAGAGAGGGATAGAGAGTTAGAAACATCGATGAGAGAGAGTCATCGACCAGCTGCCTCTTGCACACTCCCTACTGGGGATGTGCCCGCAACCAAGGCACATGCCCTTGACCGGAATCGAACTCGGGACCTTTCAGTTCGCAAGCTGACGCTCTATCCACTGAGCCAAACCGGTGCCGGCTATAAGATTGTTTTTGATAGGTATTTACTTATTGCCATTTTTATTTTCTTTATGCCTATGGTCCTCTCTCTCCTTTTCTTCTTCTTAAAGCATTTAACATTTCTTACATTGCTGGTTTGGTGGTAATGTACTTCTCTAACCTCTTTTTGTCTGGAAAGCTTTTTATTTCACCTTCAATTTTATTTATTTATTTATTTATTTATTTATTTATTTATTATATATTTTATTGATTTTGTACAGAGAGGAAGGGAGAGAGATAGAGTTAGAAACATCGATGAGAGAGAGTCATCGATCAGCTGCCTCTTGCACGCCCCCTACTGGGGATATGCCCGCAATCAAGGTACATGCCCTTGACCAGAATCGAACCTGGGTCCCTTCAGTCCCCAAGCCGATGCTCTATCCATTGAGCCAAACCGGTTTCGGCTATTTATTTTTAAAAAATATATTTTATTGATTTTTTTACAGAGAGGAAGGGAGAAGGATAGAGAGGTAGAAACGTCGATGATAGAGAAACATCAACCAGCTGCCT